TCAGAGTCTCACTTTGTCACCCAGGCTAGAGTGCAGTGGCACACTCACAGCCACCCCAGTGTTGACCTGCCGGGTGCCAGTGATCCTTCTGCCTCAGCCTTCCAAGTAGCCGGAACTACAGGTGCGTGCTACCATGCCTGGCTAATTTTTTTATTTATTGCAGAGATGAGGTCTCGCCAAGTTGCCCAGGTGGGTCTCGAAACCCTGGGCTCGGGAAATCCTCTTACCTCGGCCTCCCAAAGTGCTGGGATTATAGGCGTGAGCCACTGCGCTGGCCAATATTTTGATTTATTGTAGAGGTGAAGTCTTGCCAAGTTGCCCAGGCTGGGCTCGAACCTATGGGTTCAGGCAAGCCTCTCATTTCAGCCTCCCAAAGTGCTGGGATTACAGGCTTGAGCTACTGCTCCCAGCGACCTCATCATTCTTGTTTACAGAGTGAAAAATGTTGAGCATCTAACTCAGGCTTCACTCACTTGGTACCTGCTACTTTCTGCCTCTACCTTCCCATCAGCCAGAGTAGCAATCCTCACCTGGCCGAGTAACTGGGGTAGGTGTGTTAAATGAACAACATCATGGGATGCCTATTAGCAGGAGCTCTGCATTATTACACAGTCTTGTTTTTTTTTTTTTTTTTTTTGAGTCAGAGTCTCATTCTGTCACCCAGGGGAAGTGCAGTGGCACACTCATGGCCACCGTAGCCTCAACCGCTAAGCTCAGGAGATCCTTCTGCCTTAGCCTTCCAAGCAGATGGAACTTGCTTGGAAGGCATGCGCCACCACGCCCGGCTAATTTTTTGATTTACCGCAGAGGCGAGGTCTGGCCACGTTGCCCAGGCTGGTCTCGAACCCCTGGGCTCAGCAATCCTCTCGCCTCCGCCTCCCAAAGTGCTGGGATTACAGGTGTCAGTCACCCCACCTGGCGTTGCATCATGAGGTCTTATGACTTCTCTTTGAATCTCTGATCCTCAGTGATTCAGAGGTGATCCTGGCTGTCCGTTGGAGTTTTCTGACTCAGTGGCTCCTGGAGCGGGGTTGGCGAGAGGAGGAGGAAGTGGAAAGCAAGGGAGGCCATGCAAAGCAACCCTCAGGAGATGAGGCCAGGGTGAGCAGGGCGAGGGCACTGGCTGTCCCCATGTTGCAACCAGAGTGGGAGGGCAGAGAGAAGGTCATGGGATGGAAGGGTTGGGGTGGGGTGCTTCACCCCAGATTAGTAATACCCTTTAGGGGCTTTTCCAAGGCCTTAAAAAGCCATCTGTCTTTATGCTCTATCGGGGAAATAGTTAAGGCAGAGATTACCAGACACCATCACAGGGCCACTCCTCCCAGTTTCCAAAATGGGGATCTGAGCCGGGCTCGGTGGCTCAGCCTGTCATCCCGCGCCTTGGGGAGACTGAGGTGAGTGGATTGCCTGAGCCCGTGGGTTCAAGACCCACCTGGGCAACTTGGCGAGACCTCATCTCTACAATAAATTGAAAATCAGCCGGATGTGGTAGCATGCGCCTGTCGTTCCTGCTCCTTGGAAGGCTGAGGCGGAAGGATCACCGGAGCCCAGCAGGTCGAGGCTGCGGTGGCCGGGAGCGGCCATTGCACTCCAGTCTGGGTGACAGAGTGAGACTGCAACTCAAAAAAACCCAAAACAAAACAAGAAGGACTTTTCTCATTTAAATGTTTTGTTATGGTCACCCTCTCTAATAAGGGATTTTATATTTATAGCAGTGATATAAGATTTCCCTAAGATGAAAAATATGAGTTGACAAAAAAGAAATAAAGTGAATAACAAAAATGACAAAAATTATGACAATGGCGCGAGAATATCTGAAATCTGGAAAACCTGGCCAAGGTGCCTTCTGAGGGCCTGGGGAGAAGGGAGGAGAGGCTTGGGGCATTCAGGAAAAGAGCAGAAGTTGAAGGAACCAGAGCCTGGCTGAGAACAGGGAGCAATAGTCTTGATCTCACAGAAGCGCAGCAAGAGCAACTGTCCAGGTTGCCCTCTTTGGGGTGAACCATGAAGATGTAGCACAGACCCAACAGCTACATGAAGCCGGGTCAATGGGAGGGTCTCCTAGGCCTTGAAGACACCTCCTGATGAGAAATGACTGAAATAAGGGGGCTGTTATCTTGGATAAGAAACAACTTTGAATACCTGAGGATGTGTCCCAGAAAGGCGACACTGGACCTGATGACCCTAATTAGAGCAAGAGTAGACCACAGGCCAAGGCTTGTGATTGCAGGGTGGGGAGGATGGGGCAGAGGGGCAGCAGATGGAGCAAAGCCCTGGATGCCTAGGAAATGGCTAAGCTCTTGAGATCCTCATCTCCATTAATGATCTCCTTTCTATACACAAGGAAACTGAGGCTTAGACTGGTCAGAATGGTGGAGGTGGCATCTGAAAGAGTTCTGTCTGCATCTGATGGTATCTCTCATTAACAGAGCACAGCCTTAGCCAGGCTCGGTGGCTCAGCCTGTCATCCCACACCTTTGGGAGGCTGAGGTGAGTGAATTGCCTGAACCCATGGGTTCGAGACCTGCCTGGGCAGCGAGACCTCATCTCTACAATAAATCAAAAAATCAGCCGGGCGTGGTAGCATGTGCCTGTAATTCCGGCTACTCGGAAGGCTGAGGCGGAAGGATCGCTGGAGCCTAGCAGGTCGAGGCTGCAGTGGCCGGGAGCGGCCACTGCACTCCAGTCTGGGCGACAGAGTGAGACTCCAACTCAAAACAAAACAAAACAAAACAGAGCACAGCCTTGATCTTGTGGGCAGAAAGATACACCCAGTTCTAAGGTGCAGGGAAGCTGGTTGGGAGGTTATTGCAGATGGATTGGGGGCGGGGGCTGGGAAGAGTTCAGTTGTTTGGCTCCACTCCCCATGTTAGGTCTACCTGAAGCACCTACGAGAGAGAGAGAGAGAGAGAGAGAGAGAGAGAGAGAGAGAAAGAGAGAGAGAGAGAGATGCAGAATCTGAGGTGCCCCCTCCTGAGATCCCAGTCCCCACCCCAGCCTGCATTTCAGGCTGTGG